CACGGAAAGACAGGGGTGGGGGGGGGGGGAATCAGCCAAACAATACCATTCCCTCTTACGGCGTTTACTGCAAAGTCATGAACATGTTCAGCAGTCCCATCAGAAATCGTGCAGCGATGCAACATTTCCACGGTCCGCTGTCCCGCGTCACCAGCCGGACGGAGCGTCACGCTGGCTTCAGGAAAACTAACAAACAAAGCCTCCTCCGGTCAACATACATGACACCGGATCGCAAAAACGCATCCTGAATGGGCAAAACCCCGAGAGATGGGTTCATTAGTCTGTGGCATATAGGAGCAGGCTTTTCTGCACGGCTGTGTAAGAGCGCACACGCGTTCAATTGGATTTTCCTACCTCAAATGACCAGCTTTGGCACCGACTGATGGCGTGGTCTTTAAACGAGCGCTGTGAAGAATAGAATCATGTCACAATATATCACATCCCAGCACGGAGCAGACGCACGGCCGTCTGACCGACCAACCGACCCCCGGCCGCCTCCGGTTGGATTCAATAATAAAAAATGAGAAAAAAAGGCGCAGCGGACACAGAAGCCCCGGTGTGATCAGCCACACACACACATACACACACACACGGACAATCTGCTCTGGACTAAACGTGTGTCCACATCCCCCGATGACAAAGGAAAGAAGAAGACTCACCCACCGGGTTAATAGCGACTGTCGACGGTTTTGTTTATTTCATTGCCCCCCTCGAAAGCAGCTGTGTGTAGCGGTGCGTCACGGACTTCCGCGTTGAGACGGAGTGGAAGGGAGAGCGGCGACGCAAGAAGCGGGCTGTGTTGGGGTTTAAAGGACAGGCGGCGCACGCGGGCGCGCCGGGATTTGTGCGTGGCCGAGAGCACGAAGATGAGGATGATGAAGAAGGTGATGGCAAGATGATGGTGGCGCAGAAGCGCTTAAGGCGAGAGGGTGGTGAATCATAAGGTGTTTCCACAGTTTGCAGTTTTTAAAGTGTGCGGTGCCAGGTTACATCAGTAGCCTACAAAGTACTGCACTGTACAGTAAACAAATGGCAAAAAAAAAGATCATTTAGGCATGCACAACAACATAGAAATCAAAGCCAACACTCATTTCCCTCTAACTAAAGGGAAAGGAGGCGAGCACCAGAAGGTGTGTGGAGGCGTGTCCATACCTCAGAGTTCATTCCACAACGTTTCAGAGGCTACACCTACATACCACCAGGCTGTGTTTGAAAAAGAAATACAGCATTGCAGGAAATGCAACAAGAATCAAGGCATTTTGGCAAAGCACAGCATCCCGGATCATCCGACTTATTCCCTAAGCTGCTGACCTCTTCCTGCTTAATGGAGGACCTCAACTGTTAGGGTTTCAAACGAGCTGCCAGCAGCCAAAGAGGTCCCACTTTTCTCTTTGTGAATCATAGAGAACGATCATAAAGAGCATGATACTGAGGTCAAACACGCACATGACACGAGGAGCCGCCAACAAATTGTCACAAGTTATTTATTGATTAGTTTTGCCTTTCAGTTTGAGATGGTTCATCCATCTTCTCCTCGGCCTATCTCTAATATCAAGACACAACATCAGATAAAGATAAGTTCTCTGACTGTTTCGATGACCAACGGATCACGTCAGAGCCTGACCGGCGCTCTCTCTGACTCCTCGGACTTAAGTGAGTCCAGTCCTCAAGTCCTGTAATTCCACACCCAGAGAGCTCCCAGTGTGCTGAGCCGGGAGAGGCTCACTTATCCGCCCTGTTGACTCGAAGCCTCCACTCTATCGCTCAGAAACCTGTTATTGTGTTTGGGCTCATTACCGATGCACGGCCCGCCACGCTGTCCTCGGGGCTGGACAACAGGGCCTCTGTGCTCCGTCTGGACAAAGCAGCCGTCTCAGACGTGAGTCCACCAGGAGTATACGTCTCTGCAGAGGCAGGCTGCTGTGCTTTGTGGCTTCAAAAGATGAGGCCGTTGCATGTTTTATGGGACAGAAACAGGACTTTCCGTCCACAAAAGCAACACCAGTCACAGAGGTGGTAGAAGAGCCGGAGGCTGGCAGTCCCACATAGAGCGCAGGCCTTGTTAAAAACCTTAGTTTAACAGATACACAGAACTAGACAACAGGCATGTGGAAAATCAGGCAGAAGCCGGAGTGGAAGGGAGGGTGGTAAACCAACACTGGAGGAACCTCTGTGCGTCTTACTTCTGTTTATTTCCTGCTTTGTCTCTTAGCTCGCTGACCTTGTCAGACTGGTAAAGCTTGTGTCTTGTTTTGATTCTTCAGTGCCTCTACAGAGACATCATGACTCAGCTGTGTTGTTCCATACAAGCGCCAATATAGTTACATGATAGCATGAAACACTATACGTGAAGAGCTTTAGCTGTTTTTTATTTTGACTAAGTACTAACTTAAGAAGAGCAATAGGCTGCATTAAAATGAATAGATTTTGTTGGATCAACTTCAAGCCAAACACTAAAAGATTTTTAAATAAAACTAGTGAACAAGAGCAGAAGGTTTATCTCATATTTCTTTGAAAAATCCCAGTAAAACCTCTCATACTTTCGCATAAAATAAAACCATTTCAACCCTCACCTTGCTTGTAAAAGCCATGTCTAGAAAAAGAACCAAATCACTGTTTTCAGTCAGAGCAAAATATAGACTTGCAGCACTTGGCAAACTTGCAAAGGCAGACTGAACTACATTGAAACAGAAAGTAGAAAACAGACATTTGGCTGCTATGAGAGACACAAGCACAGAAACGGAATCAAATACTCAGACACAGCCTGCGAAAGAAAACTCTCCTGAGAAAGAATCCTGGATAAAGTGTGCAGTGGAGCTGGAATTTGAATGAAAAACATGTTTGGAAAAATCTTTCTGCACACAAATCCGTTCTAAGCGAGTACAAATAAAATGGTGGCTTATATTTGCACACCTTATACAGCAAGATAAACAAACTGAGGGTCATTTAGTTCTCGCAGTGACTAAAATCTTTACCTGAGCCAGGATTATTATCATGATGACTAACCATTCTCTGGTCTTGAGATACGGACTCTGGTTTAAAATAAATGAAAAATTACATATTTTCAAAGACAATCAGCTGGAGACGGCAATTATGTAGTATTACAAAAACTAAATAGCAGAAAACTACTTTGCAGATGTGCATTTGCCCAGCGTTTCACAGCGCTGCACAGGCCAATTAGAGTGGATCAAAGGCAGAAAATGGCGAAAGAAAGTGAAGATAAAAATACTGCAGAACAGCAACCAAAAGAAAAAAAGTGTGACCCCCGTCCTTTTTGAAGAGGTTCCTCATACTCACTGCTTTATGTTCTTTTCTTTTGCATGTAAACATACATTTGCTTACCTTGATTTTTCAGTTTAATGGCTAAAATATTTTATTTCAAATTATCAATATGAAAAATATTATTCCTTATTTGGTCTTTTGAGCAATTACACATCTTTAGAATGAAAGGACAGCCCTATTTGTCTCCTCAAAGCAATATTTGACATGTTCAGATTAGCACACACTAAAACTACTACACAAACTTGGACATTTGTACAGTTGCAGGTGAGTGAGTGAGTGCCAACACAAAGTGATGGACAGAAATGTGCAGGGGACGGGCCGGTGACGACAGGACTGTCACTTTTCCATGACAGGGCGATGACCCTGTGGTTATGAAGGGAAACCTGACAGGAAGTGGTGCTCTGCTTTGTTTATCCTTAGCAGGACTTAATGGGAGTAAATGAGTGTTCCACTTTTCAGGAGGTTCAGCTTGTTGCTAAGGAACAAGCCAAAGGCCTGAGTCAGAAGGAGGGGGTATTTCATGTAAAAAGACTGAGTGGGTGATACTACAAATCTCCCCATTTCCCATTCCTCACAGTTTGAGACCCAGTAGGGCTGATAAGCGACAGACCAAATATCCAAAGTGTGTATGATGAGGAACAGAAACTGTCTCAAGCGATGAAACCTGAAGAAATGAGAGGGCTTCCAGTAAAATGGTGAAATCAGCTTCCCCCTCTACATGACCGAAGAGACTCTGTTGGAAATGTCATTTTAGGCGAGCACAGGATTTCACACGTACACCAATTACGGAAGAAACTTTATTAGTTTAAACCCCTGTAGATACTTAACCAGCATTAAAAGTTTTTGAAAAAGCTGAATTTAAAAAAAAAAAAAAAAGAAAGAAAAAAATACTTACAAAAGATTTTTCATGGCAACAACCGCACTGTAGACACGCTATAAACACCACAACCTACCCCCCCTCCCTCAGTCCTAACACAGTTTAGTTAAAAGGCAGACAGATTACCGACATTCACACATACACACATTGCATACTTACCATTTAAAAACCATCCTTTAATTTAAATAAGCAGTATTTATTAATAAATATGAAGTATTCCATTAATAGGGGAGTGTTCAGTTCTCTCTTAAGAAAAAATGTTTGTTAGTTATGTTGTATGTGCCCATGTGCAGAATATAAAAATCTGGATATCATTAACACTTCATTAGACAAACACAGACAAGTATGCAGCTTTCCCCAACAAGAAGTCACACGTATAAATATAATTCTAAAGTGCATCTGTTTAAGACTTGTCAAATGAAGTCAACAGCAGTCCTATCAATAAAAACAAAGGAAAAGCGTGCAGCAGATATATTCAGTAAAAACTACCTACATACATGCACAATTTTTTTTTTTTTTTTTTACAAAGAAAAAAAGAATAAAGTAACAGACACCAGGTAAATATATATAGATATATATTTTCACATTGTAAAGAGGTGATAATTCTGTGCCATGTCAGTCCACTTTTGTATGTTAACACGTGGCTTTAAAGAATATTCATTCTTTTTCTTTTTTTTTTTAGTAAACTTGGCTGATAATAAGAAAAAAAAGCACACAGTGGTGTATGGGTTTACTTAGTTTCTGAAATGCTTTTGCAGAATGTTTTTTTCTTTTGATCCCCGGCATCAACAGTCATTTGGACTGCGTGTGCGTGCCCTGGGAGGAGGGCAGGCGGGAGGGTCTAGATCTTAGGCAGCTTGGGCGCACTGATAAGAGGGTTGGTCTCCTGCAGGAACCGTCGGCCAGCACTCTTGTAGTCAAAAGTGCAGTCGTGAGTCTCTGCGTAGCGGTGGGTGGCACAGAAATTGTGGCCGCACCTTGAGATGAAAATGCACAGATATTACGGTGTGTATGCATAAAGGTCAGAGGTGACACATCCGGCACATAAGCAGACTTCATTTAACTGTGTGTGAATGAGGCCCTCCTCTTCATGGAGCTACAAAGAGCTTTCCTTTATAAGGCACAAGCACTGAGTAAGCCCAATTTCCAAGTCTTTTGAACCCGGTGTGCACCAGATAACAAACCAGGACAGGACCATTTTGTACATAAGAGATTTGGATTGTGGTTGTGAATGAGTGAGTGCTTGTACCTGCACTCGTAGCTGGTGGCCAGCCCAGTCTTCTTGCCACAGAGGAAGCAGTGCTTTGAGCTTTTCTTCTTTGTGCCTGCGGGGGCCTTGACTGGAGGTAGGTGGTATGCTGGAGTGCCTGAGAGAAGAAGAAACATCTCATGTTCTCTACTGAAGTCAGACTAAAAAGTACAGAATGCATACTGAAAAGATCTGAGATATTTTTGGAACATCTAATCTTATTGTGTGTATATATATATATATATATATATATATATATATATATATATATATGGTATAAGACAGATGTAACTTTGCTCACATTGGATCCATGATGATTGCATGTTAGTTATAATAGTTTATTTCAAGCCAGACTTGATTTTTAAGTAAAATCTGTAAAGTGACAGTACTTAAAAGCCGAAACATAGGAGCACACATTTTTTGTCAGATGGCCTAATTCAATTGTTTCTATATTGAACAGGTTCTTTAATAGGGAACTTTAATGACCTGTTGGAACACTCACTATTCATTTCCCAAGTCAGGAGACTCTGATTCTCATTTTCTACTTGTGAAATTTCAGTGTAAGCGTGAAGACTGGCAGGCTTTGCAAACCGTGCTGTCAGCCAGGGGGAGTGCGATGATGTGGCAGATTGGATTTTCATTTGGTTTCTGTGCATGTCACATTAGGTCTGCTACCACAGACATCCAGCGGGTTCGACTACAGTCAGACCAGAACCCATGTTTCAGAGTCTGCTTTGTAACTGAGCCAAGCTCAAACAGAATATTTTCAGCTACGAGCTGCTGTAGAGCTCTGCTCTTCACTCACAATCTTAATGCAAGTCATTCACAATGGGATGTAGGTATGTATACTGTGGGCAAACACAGAAGCACTATTGACAGTCAGCAGTCAGAGGGAGAAAAGATGTCAACAAGGAGGAGCATAAGCCGACATGACCGAGTTTAGATAGCTGGGTGCAGACCCTGCCATCACTCTGTGGGCAAGTATTGGTAACTTGGACTTAAGTTAGGAAGCCATGTGTGATTCCTTCTTTTTCAAACAAAGATGTGTAGTACAATCTGAAGTATGATGCAATGGAACCTGCTAAAATTTTTTTAAAAAAAAGGCTGCAGAAGGTGAAACAAAAGACTCGCACAGCATGTAGCAGGAGCTGGGAGACGTACTCAGTTAGATTAAACCTGATTTTCTTTGTGCTGCAAAACGCAACAGGACCAAGAAGCAACATGAGGCTGGACCATAGGCATCGGCATGATAAGGGTTTCATCATTAATCGCCTTATTCAGAGGATTAAAAACTTTTAAATTGAGTGTGCATACATTTAATCCAAAACAGTTTTCAATGTTAGCAGAGCTGCTGGCTCAGGAACTTTGTTTACTTCCTTTGCCAATACGATTCAGTACTACTCCATTCAAATGTTTTGAGACCCGGCATAAAAGAAATCTAAAAAGAACTTTCGATTCATGGATTTTTTGGGCCTATTTTAAAGGTTTTTTCAGGTTAAATTGCTTTGGTCGTTCATCAAATAAACACACAAGCTTTACACATTAATTGGTGCATTCAAATTAAGATTCAAATTCTATGTGAGCGTATCAGTGGCCACCTTAAAGAACAGAAAATGCTGTTCTGGCATCGTGTTGTTGGAACCGCTGCTGCACGCACTGACGTAATGAATAGTTGATACCCCTGGTGCTGGGTTTCAGTATTGGAACAGCGTGCACCGGGGCTTTCACATAAAATAACAACATAACGCCGTCTGTGTGTGGCCCTTACCTATAGTCCCGAATGATGTCATGACTCCAGCAGCTGAAGCCAAGGAGCTGCTTGTCTAAAAACAAAGAAACGAAATGCATCAGAGTGAATAAGTAAAACTGCTTCTTCACTTTCAACGCTCCAACTTTAAAAAATATATACCATCAACAAGGTTACTGGTGATATAGCACAAAAAAGCAACTCTCTTCTAAAAATGTAACTTTCATGCAGGAATTACTGTTCACGTGTTTAAAAGAGGTAGCAGGAATACATGTTATTACATTTGAATGAAAAAATGACTATATACTACTATATAATATATTTAGAGAACTAATCACAAATGAATGAGCAAAAAGTATCAAACAGTATTAGTCCTCACTCTGTAAGCAGCTGCTGTTCGGGTCAGCGGCGTCATTTGTCTAATGAGGTCATCCTGAAGAAACCGATTAGTTGGGATAACTGGCAGGCTGGAACCAATACCACCCTGTCCTGATGTTACTGGAGGCAAAGTCAGGGCAATTCCCAGACTCTCTCCTATGCCGTCCCTGCTGCTGTTGTCTGGAGGCCTTGTGGAGAGAGAAGCCAACAACTTAGAGTTGTTCCGAGACCCTAGTGGCTCCTTATAGGCTTGATTTTCCATATTAGTGATGCCTCTTGCTTCTTTTTTGGAGATAAGCTCTGGTCTTTTTCCCGGTGACTCAACTTTAACCCCCCGAAGGTGTGGAGGATAATTTGCCAAGTTGGTTGGGGGATGAGGGGAGGCAGTGCCTGGTTCTACTGAGGATTGTGCTTGTAGGTTAGGCTGTAAATAAAGTGTGGAATCAAAAGGCTGACACAGCAATCTCGTTGAAGTGGGTTTTGAGGAAGAAGTAGCTAATGTAGAGGGAGCGCTAACATGCACTGATGTACTAAGCTTTGCTCCATCAGCTCTACTGGTGAGTGCATCGCTTGCTCCCAACTTCCAAGGACTGAGCAGAGAGGAGTGTGGCAGCTGGTGCTGAGCCCCAACATTAAAGGGTTGACAATCTCCCTCTGGCTGGAAGGACATGTTGAGTCCGACGGGGTCTGTCAGTTCCCCGTATGAAGCCCCAGGCTGTGCTGGTGCCACAAGTCCAACCGGTTTCTCTAATAAACCCACCCTGACCGCCTCTCCTGGAGGATCAGCTGGGTCAAAGGGGCCTTCGGGAGTCCCCCTGGTGCACAGTGGGGTATGCTGAGGATAAACACAGTCTCTCATCAACCTGCTGGTGCCAATATCCATACGGGATACTTTGGGAGGGGGGCGAATTTTTGCAAATGGTGGGCATGCCTCCCATGGTTCTTCCTCCTGAAGCATATAACAAGATGGTGACAAAAAAGAAGGAGGAGACCGCTTAGGGATTGTCAGATGGGCAGAGCTGGCAGTGGCAGTGAGCAGAGGGGGGTCTACGGCTTCATGGTCTATAATTGGAGGTAGTGGGGCTATTTTCTGTCGAGGCTGGTTGATTTGTGGGAGCGAGCGAAAGAGGCGATGGTGATGTCGGGAGCTGACAGGTCCAGAGGAGCTGCTGCCGGGATGTGGACTCACAGGAGCCCGTGGTTTTACCTTTACTGATTTCTAAAGGACAAAGAAGAGGAAGAATGGTATAATTACAACAAAAATGCTCAGCATATTTTTTAATAATGTAAACTAATAACTGTATTGCCACAAAAATGTAAATTAAACTGAACTTCATTTAGTAATAGGAAGAAAAATACAGAACCAGTCCTGTTCAATGTCATGGAAAGCAACAGGTCTGCAATGGTTATTATTGCTGCTATGGAGGACCATTTATAGTCCTTGATCAGAGCAAGTCATGTGCTGATAAAATATGTCGTCATTTGGAAAAAATCTTTTAAAGATTAAATTACGTTGAGAAATTCACAGCACTAATAACACAAAGCCTATAAACTTAAAGGACCCGCATGCACAAGGCCACTGCTGTTTTCAGATCTGAGGCTCCACAGGACTGCTCAGAGCTTTCCTTTGTTTAAGTTTCGAGAAAATTAATTTAACCAGTTTGATGCCAGTTCCAAATAAGACTTTCTTTATCTGTGAGACTATAAAATACACAGTGGAATTAAAATGCATACGTGTTTTTATTACAGCGAGAGAACAAAGTAAAACTTAAATGGGCTTTGTTGATTTTAGTACCTTCTTGCTAAGGTTCATGTCTTCCATCTTGGCTTTGAGCAGCTTCATTTTTGTCATAGTGATTGAGTTTTCAAGGCTCTGTTGCGCGGCTGTAGAACCCTCTACGTCCTCCTCCTCAGCATACATATTGTACACAGAGCCACCACTGGAGAACAAAGCAGGGGAAAAAAGCTCCTTCCTATTAACAATCTAAAAAAAATTAAATAAAAATGAAATGTGCATCCACGTAAAGCATCCCAAAGCCATCACTGGGTCAGAGTTAATGAACTCAGAATAAAATAGCCCTAAAACAACAGCTGCTCTAACAGCATACCGACCTTAGAGATTCAGACAGAGGGGTCAGAGTACCATCACCCCTGTCAACCACTCGAAAGAAGTTGAGCTGGTCACCATCACGATAGACCACAAACGTGACCTGCTTGTTGGTCAGGTTTTTCTCCCATCCCTCCTCCTTTGTGCCCTCCATCAGGTCAGCCACGTCTTTGATAGGATCCTCTATTGTAACTGTGAGAATAAGAGGGGCTTTCAGTAATTACATCAGAAGACCACAGCAGATTTTTATTGTAAGCCAAGGAATGAGATATATTACTAGTCCAGCTTCATGAGCATTTGACCGTTATTTGGACAGTTTCGTACCTCTCCTGGTGTTGATTGGGCCTCCCCTCATAGCTAAAACCAGTTTCAATGTGCATCCCTCTGCAATGCTGCAAAGGCAAATAAAATAAAATTTAAGACAGTGAACTAAGCAAGTGTTACAGTAATTTCAGTGTCCATAACACTAGAATGAGAGGGACAGAAAAATACATTTACTTTTAGTGCTTTACTTCTGAGGCAGAGATTCTGATCTAAAGTAAACAACATTTCAAGGGATATAATGAGTTCCAGGTTAAATTAAGAATAGGACTGGGATTTGCAATTAAACAGTTGTTACCAATAAGCAAATAATTAATTGCTTTCTCTCCCCCTCTGCTTGTAAAACTTCAATGGTGTGCTGCATTATGATTTAGTAGCCTTGCAAAGATCTTTCAAAAGCGTGTTCATGTGGAAAATGAAGTGACAAGCATTTATAACAATACTGCCATCTGCAGCCAGCAGAGCACTGGAGGGTGAGCTCTGCATCTCAGAAAATGACAGGAGTGGAAGAGCAAGTTCTCCAATATGACCTGTGTCATTTGTCTCAAATGGCTCCATATCTCTTGCCCATCTATGACATGAAAAACAATGTCAGGAGTCACTTCTCCTTTGACAGCAAGAATTTAACATGCTCCTGTTAATCAAAATATAATGCACTCTTCAAAATGTCTGATTTTCTCTCCCTCAGTGTCTGCACTTTAAAGGACAAAAGGCGTTAGCAGGAATAAAGTTACCCATAATCATGTAGACAATGTTCATCATCCAGCTCTACATTGTTCCAGATAAGATGCTGCTGGGCAACTGGAATACCTTTACAGACAGTTAGAGAGAGGAGTAGGAGAGAAAACATCCAAAGTTGACAAGGACCCGTTTATATTTGATGAGCTCCGTGCATTACCCTTTTGTGATAAGTAAGAGGGGAATGCCAAAATACATTTCACAAGAGACTTCGTATTTGCTTAAATAAAGTGTTTCAGCTGGGAGGAATGTTGGGATGGCATTTCACCCTAATCAGCCACAGAATGACATTGGTGACTAAAATGTTCCATTAGATAACAGCATACATATAATCTTTCCACTTAAATTTCCATTCTACCCTTTTCTGCCCAATCTAACGACACTGCCAAACAGATTTAGCTGTGTTCATCTGTCGTGTGCCAACTCCCTCCCTTAGGAAATGAACCAACAGATGAGTCCACAAATTTGTTGTGTCAGACAGCTGCACTCTGCGGTCAAGAAACAGCCGGATCTTTTTATTCTTGCGTCAAACTAAAAGCCATTCGCCGAGTTTGTTTGAATTCATTTCTCATCCATCAATCCTGTACTTTCACCTAAATTCTGTTAAAATAAAAACATAACGGCTATCTGGACATTTGAAAGATGTGTTGCAGATGATCAGATGTTGCACAGAGGAAAGCAATTTCAGTAGAATGTCATGGTGCAATTAAAGTGCATATGTGTCAATATAATGTGGTCAAAAGTGAGGCATGATGTCTGTTTTCTTAGTAATTAGAAAAGCAGCACTGAGTCTTGAGTTTGAATGGATCGTACCTTCCAGTCTCTGGATCTTGGCTTTGACTGAAACAACAGCCTCAAAAGGCAGCACGCGCAGCTCAAAACAGGTCCCCGTAAGGGTCTCTATGAAAAGCTCCATAGTGTCATAGAAGGGGAGTTTATACTGAAAAGCTCCCACACTGTCGTCATTAAAGAAGGGTGGCTCTTTCCTGTCGGTCATCTTGGCAGGTCGAAAATGAAATTTTGGGATGATCAAACCAAAGAAGTGGGACTGGGGATCTGCTCACTGGTCTCACTGCTGTCAGACATCATGTAGAATGACTTTTGCTGTTGGTAAAGACAGATACAGAATGACTTCAAAGAGAAAATTTAAATAATATTTTATTATCTTAACAGTGAAAAGTTAATCAAGACAGCCTGATGCCATTAACAGAAAATAAGTTGACACATACAAGTTTTTGAGCAATAGGAGATGACAGGGGAAAAGTATCAAACCAAACTATTAAGTAGTAAAGAAATTATTGTGCAATAGACACATATTATCAGAGGCAGCAGACTCAAGCAACTATCTCATAAAACATTTAATGCAGCTTTAGTGGCTGTGGGAAAATTTCAAGAAGATCAGGTGTGTTACATAACCCCAGGGGATAAGATGTCCTGTTGCTGATCACAGTCTTTGACTTAAAGAACATTTTATGGGAAATAAACTAACAAAGGCAGATTTAAATTAAGGCAAACCACTGTGGTATACCCATGCCTTCCGAGAAGGTCTTAGTGGGAAAACAAAGTACAGATACCAAATAAATGTACAGACAGATTTGGACTGGGAATCGAAAACGCCAACAATGAATGAATAATATCAATGCATCTTTGAGGGGGACCGTACCCCAACGAAAAAGCAACGACATTTTGTGAAAAAGTACACGTCCGTAAAGTAGTTTCAGTCCTTAAAATCGACTCCTCTTAAATTAATCATGCTAGTCACATGCATTAAAGACGTTGCCAGACACTTAAAACATGGATAAGTGAAACCGGAAAAAGAAACCAAACCCTGCGTGTATAAACACACAGCATGAACCAGGTGGTACGTTGATATTTCTGTGGTGTTACGGGGCCTTGGGTGCACCCATTCAGAGATTAAAGGGCTGCCATCACACGCCATTTTACAAACAATTAATCAGTGAAGTTATAGACAATACTATCCGGAGATTGCGCCGATTTCAGATAATTCAACAGTGTTTGCATGTAACATTAAAGCAGAACCTACAAGCTACGTAAGACAACATGGATGTTAGCTGCCTAACAACGGAGATGAATGGAGTTAAAACCGTGCCAGTGCAACTCGGAGGCCTAACGTTAGCAAAAAAGAAACCATGAAGGCATTTTGACATCTTCGTTTTTGATACTACAGCTTTTAGCCTTTATTTATGTTGGTGTTTTCCATAAGTTAAAAAAAAAAATCACTTACCGGCGGCCACTGAAACAAAACCGTAGGGAAGCCCGTCTAGCCGACGCTGCTAACGTTAGGTTTCGTTGCCATGTTAGCCAGCAACTCAAACAATGGCTTCCTTTCACAGAGGTCGGCTAGCAGGCAGCTATGCTACATCCAGGGGGCTTCAGTTCTGCCCGTCCCGTGTACCTGACGGCGGTAACGTTACGTTCAGAACTAAGCAGCATCACGTTTAATCGTTAAAACAAGTCATGACACAAATTGACCGTCGTCGGTCGCCGCTGTTATCTGCTTGGCGACATCTTCGTACCTGTCAAAAATGGTAGAACAACACATTCATGACTCCGTCTGACTGATGAACAAAGGAACCAATTGAGAACGGTGAAGTGGGCGGGACATACATTTGTGTCTGTAACGGTGAGTTGGAGGCCAAATAGATCACCTTCACTTAATGGTACCAAAAGAAGCCGTGTGTAAACCCATCCCCGTATTGTTGGTGTTATTATTCTAATAAATTAATTTTGTTCACAGTAGTGTTCCATAATGTCAACTATTAGATTCTGTGTCCATGACTCGAGGACCTACAAGTAAAATGTGTTAATTTACCTGTTTTACCTTGCTCTGTTTAAGAGGTCCATACAGAAACATCATGTATAACAACTACATGGGCTTAAAATTCAAACCTAAGAGAAAATAATATTCTCCCCTCACCCTGTCATTAGTATTCTTTCATCCTTCGTTAAAAACAGAGGATGTGCAAACCCTCCAAACCTGCAACCCTCACGCTGTGTAAGGAGACAATGCTGTCCACCGCACAGGCACACCACCTTCCTGTTTAACTTTACCAATGTAACGACACAATCTGTTTGAGATATTGCAGCCAGACAGATAAAAAAGGACTTGTCTAAATATACCCTTCTAGAGAGAAAGCACATGACATCCCTTTGATTGAAATGATTGCACACATCTCAGATAAAATATGTTTCTTTTTAGTTAAAAAAAAAAAAAGGATTTTCTTTTCCATCACAGCCAAAGTTAAGAAATGGATGAATTTCTTCATAAAAACAGTCAAAATGACTAAGACATTAAGTAAACACTCTCAGAAGCATGATATGGCACAACCCAAAAGACATAGAATCTCACAAGGCAAAGCCAAAAGATATAAAAACAAACAAAATCTACTGTTAATTTCTGCAGGCTTCAAGGCTAAGCATACAGTATGCTTATAAAGTGCTATCATGTATCATATTATACTAACAGTTCATATTAGGTATGATGCCAGAATGATTTTGGAAATGCTGTTGGCAGATGACTGGAATCATTTAGATTTGCAAAAAAATAATTAGCCACAGTATTAATATGAATTTATAGCAATAAATACTCTTATCAACAGTGTGTCTGATATCTTTCGGTGATTTCTCAATGAAAAAAAGAATCCACAATTGTACAAATCTGGCCTCTCCAAAACTTTAGATCCCACCCAGAGCATTAAGAGGATCGTCAAATATGTTGCTTGAGTCTGCTGCTGTACTGCTCTCCTGGGGCGGTGCTGTTTTCTTCGATTTATGGGGAGTCTTTGCTGCTGGCTTTACTGTGCTCGCTGAGAAAATGTCGTCTTTACAGAAAAGAGACAGATACAAAACATTTGGTGAAATATACCGAATGAAAGTAGGAGACAAAATTACCCATATTTAGAGAGTTTGAATGTATTACACTATTCTGTTTCTTACCCATGTCATCATCAAATATTGACTTGGTCTCTCCCTTGGTCTTGGACTTCTGTTTTGGTTTGAAGGTGTCTGTCAGGTCAGCAAAAATGTCTATGTTATCATCAAACAAGCTGGCATCGATGGACTTCTCTTTGTGCTTCTTGTGAACTTTAGGCACATTGGCTACTTCATCCTGTAAAACAAACATACAGCCAGTCAGGGGAGAAATGAAGTCTAACGGCTCAGATGAACCTTGACCGTGTTATTACGGAAACACAGCAAAGGCACCTGAAAGATGTCCTGCTTTGAAAAGCTACTGCTGCTCTTGATGTCTTTACTGCTTGTGGATGAGGGAGTGGAACTGTTGCTCAGTCGAAATATGTCATCATCGTCATCTTCTTCCAGAAAGGATGACGCCTTCGCTTTCTTAGTGCTTGTCCGTTGTTTGACACTTTGGAAAAGGTCATCAGCAGTGTCGTTGAAAATGGATGGGAGTGTGCTTTTGTCCTTGTCTTTCTTCCCTGCCGACCCACCACTGGCCTGAGGATGACTAGTCTTGGTAGTTTCTCTGGCAGGGGGCTTGCTAGCGACTGAGTTTGCCCCAAACAGCATGTCAGAGCCAAAGAGGTCATCTTCGTCCGAGGGTTTCAGTAGCTTCGTGCCACCGTTTTTACTGATGTCATTCTGTCCAGTATTTGCAGGAACCGGGAGGATCAGTTCAGAGGGTCTGGGAGAGATTTGAGAGGCTAAAGGTTGGGATGGTGAGAGGGTGGGCAAGTCTTCTATGTTGGGTAACGTTGGATTCATGTGTTTCTGGCCAGACTTTTCTGTTTGAGGTACGGCTGAACCGGGAACACTAGGGCTTAGCTCAGGTACCCCAAGGGTCTCCTCTTTATCCTCCATGGATCTCTGAGCGGCTTGATGCCTTGCTGCTCTGGACTGAGGCCTTCGAAGTACAGAACCTTTGGCGCGCCTCTGCATGACAAGAGAATTACTCAGACATCGTGTGCTAAGATTTCAACAGAAGTGTAAAAGTCACTGCCGTACAGGCTACAAGCGGGAGACAGCGACAAACACAAAAACCCACCATGTGTGCACTCTGCAGAGTTGTGACCTTCACCGGAGTATCAAAGCTCACCCCTCTTTCACTGTCTGTGTGGGCTCCAACAGGAGTTGTGGCAGGGCTGGGACTCAGGCTGGAGCTCGACACCCCAGAGGACGAGCTCGTACCCTCCGACGTACTGGGTACAGCACCAGGGAGCAATGCGGCCGGGTTGATCATCAGACTGGCCTGAACAAGCAAAACAAACAGACTCACTAACACAGGAGTGAGTTAGGAGGAAAAATACTTTGGGCCCTGTCAAATGACTCGGTTAAAAACTTCCAGATTTTGGAGTTTATTTTGCGCTTTAAGTCCACATAGCTGTCTTATCATGGTGTTTCTCAATCCAAAATATCACTCAGAGAAAACTGAGAAACAGGCCATGAAGATGGAAACGGAAAAAGAGCAGGAGGAGTGAGTTGCTGCTGAACAAGAGGCAGACAACTTTTTAAGGTTAGTGATCTCATATATATTTTTGGACAGACCTACATTTTGATAACAGAAGATATAGGGAGGAAATGTGTGAGCAGCAACAGGAAAATATTTTCTGAAAAGGAATCGAAGGAAATTGTCAGAAGTAAAGACTTAAATAAAGACGTTAAAATTACTTGAATTTTCCCAATCCTTGATGAGGAATCTTTAGGTTTTACAGGGCTTGCTGCAGGTTTCTGTGCAATCAAATTACAGGATGTTCAGAATTTATCCAAAGACATAATTTATTGTGTCAACTCAGAAACAACTAAAACACACAGAACAAGCAGGCTCTATCAATAAAAATACAGCTAATACATGTAAAAATGTTTTTTAAATGTTTATGACACAGAACAGGGATGTGAACTCACCTGGATCTCCGACAGAGGTTCTGGACTTGCTAATGGTGCTCTGTCAAGAGTTTTGGTGGGTTTCTCTGCAACTTTCTGTAGATTAAAATGCTGGATTAAGTATTGAAACTATCAGAAGGCAATTTTTTTGGTTTGTTTTGCTCTAACATTCAGTCTTACTAAATGATTTAAACTAACTGGTACCGGAGGAGTTGGTTTTGGCTGGATGGGGCTGAAGAGGTCGTCTTCATCATCATCTGCAAACAGACTCTGTGCTGCTGGCTGCACTGGGCTGAGTTTGGAGTTCTGGAAAAGTGAGAACTTGTTTGTACATCTGCATTTAGCCATGGTAGACATGCTTGCAAAGGAGGAGACCAAACAATGAGCAAGCACAAAGGAATATCTTAAGCAAGGGCACTCACTGTTGCTTTCTCTGAGGATGCAAAGAGGTCAACATCTGGGTCATTGTCCTTCTGCTGAGTCTGACTAAAGAGCAACTCTTCATCCTGGAAGACACCTGTGCTCTTTGCCTGTGGACGCTCTTCTACGGGCTGTACGGAAGTAAAGGTTTACATTTGACTTCAGTTCAAACAGAACAACACAATTGTATGAATGATTTTTTTTGTGGTCTGCTATTAAACTACCTAAAAGACAAACCTTTAGTGTCTTTCTTTCTTCGGGCTTAGTGGGCCTGAAAATTGGATCACTCCAATCAGACTCATCTTCCTCCTCCTCATCAAACAGGCTAACAGTGCTTGTTTTGTTCTTCTCTTCCTTCTTTTCCACCTGCTTAACGAGTGGCGGCGGGCTTTCCTTAGAGAATAGGCTGTCATCGTGGACTGCTGCTTCATCCTGCAGGCTTTTAGACTGCTTGCTGGCAAGAACGTCGATGCCACCAAACAGACTGACAGCTCCAGCGGGCTTCTTTTTACCCACGGTGACCTCCTGAGTTGGGAGAGGATTGGGTTTTTTTTCCACAGGTCTCGGCTGCTCTGGGGGTTTGTCGAAGTCCTCAGACAGGGTGGGCGTCTGACAGGTAACAAGAGGTTTCTGAAAATAACAGAGGTTAAATAAAGTGAAATGTCTGTGTAAGAGAATGCTTTTTCTTCCATGGCAAGTCCAATTTGACATCATAACAAATACAGAAACAAAATAATCTTGGTGCACTTGCTTCAGCTGGGGCTTCAGGGCTCGCTGTAACAGCAGGTTTAGTGCCAAAGAGAAACCCTTTATCTTCATCACCACCCTCGTCTTCAAACAGGAGAGCAACCCTCTGGGGCTTCTTTTGACTAGAAGAAGAGGACAGATGTAACAATAAACGGAGACAAAAGGGATTCCAAAACTACTTTACCTGGCAGCACATACAGTATGTTCCTGATTTCTGGAGGAAAGAAGGCGCTTTAGTGCTGCAAATACCTCGACTCTGTAGTGGGAGCAAACAGGTCATCATCGTCTTCGTCAAACAGGCTGCTCTGCTGGGACGCTTTAGTGCTGGGCAGACTGGATGGAGCACTGGTGCTGGTTGTCATCCCCCCTGTCTTGGCGTCAGATTTTGTGGTGCTACTTTTTGAACTCATCCATTGGTCCTTTCATTGGAAAAAGATTAATTATCACATTAAGTCCATATTACATACAGGCAGAGAGGAGAGTAATCGTGACTGTTTGTGTACTAGTACCTCATCATCGCTGAAGAGGGAGCTGGACACCACGTTGCTGGGCTGTGGTGTGGAGGATTTAGCTTGATTAGCCTTTGGTTTAGATTTAGCTGCGGATGCAAACAAGTCCTGCAAGATAAAGAATATGGAAGTGATGTTCAGTCATCAGAAATACACCTAAAACCACCCAGTTGTGTGAAGCATGTCATCTTTTACCTCCTCTTCATCATCAAATAAAGACAGAGGTGCTTTGCTGGTTTTGCCCAGGCTTGTAGGTTCAGGCTTTGACTGGCTCTTGGGGATCGTTGAAAATAACTGTGAGAAAGTAAGCCAATACGATGTGTAAATAATATGTATGATCCCTTTTGGACTTTTCTTTTGCTGATGTTTGAGAGCTTGACCTGTGCGTCTTCATCATCAGAGAACAGGCCTCTGCTGTCGTGCTTCTGCGTCTGCTCGCCAGCAGCTTTCCCAACATCAGCAGCAAGACCATTCTACAAAGCACAACAAAGGGGAAAAGTTCTTCTGAGTTTAAACCTTTGACTGAGTTAGAAAAGATACACAATAAAAAATGTTTCCATTTGCTTGCCATTAGACAGGTTTAACTTTGCTGTACATTTCAGTTTTTCATGTAAAAAATGTTGCATTGTTAATATTTTTCTGTGTCTCCGTAACTGAAAGCAAATAAACATATAAAGTTTTACCATTTGGTGAGTGGTATTTGTATACCATTTACGATTACACCTATGGAACACAATATTTTTACCTATACTTTACACACTGTTCAGACTCCTGAAAACCAGTGAACATTAGAAAGCATTTGGCCTGTGTAGGTGATCTTAAGCCCAGTGCAGTGCTTTGTAAGTTGTGTATGAGTTATTGGTACACAGCGGTTAATTCAAACCTCCACAGATTTCTCAGACTCAGAGCTGGTAGAAGGCTGTCGTTTTTTCAGAGCCTCATTGAGCAAGCTCTTAGTACCGGGGCCGAACATCGATATGGCTCCTGGCGGGACCTACACGTAACAATTAAATTGCAAAGAACGTTGATCGGACATAAAATCCAGCCTATTCTGAAACAGTGGGACATGCGTGTGTTTTTATGTACCTTTTTCTCAGGGGGTTTATCCCTTTCTTCCACCCTTGTGCTCTGAGTAACAGGTGGTGCGCTGAATATGTCCCCGTCCTCATCTTCTTCATCATCAAAAAGGTCTATAGCTCTTATAGGTTTGGGTTTCTCCGGAGCGACTGAAAAATAAAGTAAACAACAATCATATAAGCAACTACATGGAGAAACTAGCTCAACACTATAGAGCTTATATGCTTATTTTCATTCACCTACCAGAGTCAGTCTTTTTCAAGCTTTTACCACTGAAGAAGTCGTCTTCCTCATCTTCGTCATCAAATAGCCCACTTCCTACTCCAGAGCCTATAGCTCCTATGTGGACCTGTTTGGGGGCAGTACTGCCTTTAACAGACAAAGTCCCGTTTTCTTTGCTCTCCGCGGAATCAGACTCGTGGCCTGAACTGAAGAGGCTGTTGTCTGTTGAGAGGTGGTAGTTTGGTTTGTCCGAATATGTTAAAACATAAAAAAAGCTAATGTCTGCCACCATAAGTCACTCCTCTTACCTGGGAATATTTTCTTCTCCGGTTTGTTAGATTCAGTGGGAGCTGCGGTTTTTATGCCGTCATTCAAATTTCTTTTCTCTTCCATCACAGGTTTTGGTGCCTCAGAGAAAAGGTCGCCCTGAATGTCAGGTTGTGATTAATCTAATGAAATTCTGTCTCACGCAGACTATATAATTAAAACAATAGGTGGAAGCACTTAAATCATTTAGTTTATTTTACCTCGTCGTCATCATCAAAGAGCCCTCTGCCGCCACTGAAGAGGCCGCTTTTCCCTCCAAATGGGGAGAAGTCATCATCGTCCATCCTTGGTGGTTTAAACATGTCATCGCTGTCCTCTTCAGCTGCTGTTACAAATCACATCAACAGCATGAGAACTAATGGTGACCACTGCTTTTCACTGAAGCATCCAACGCAACAGAAAGCTAAAATCAGTGATGATGAATGAGTCCTACCCGGGGGCCTTGCTGGCTTGGGATCTTTTCTGCCTTTACCCTTCTTCTTAGATGTTAATGCTTCCAAGATAATGACATGGTAGAAAGAAAAGAAAAATCCATGACCATGCACATGCAGTAGTGAACCCATTCCATGAGGTACTTTTCATGTATATTCCTACTTGGATGTCTGAATTTAACTGAGATAATAATGTAATGAGAAACATAGAAAAATGGAAAGTCGAACAGACTTGTGGCTTAACTACCAGCAGAGACTTACATGCCCGATCTCCCTCAGGTCTGCTTACTGGGTCACCTTTGATTCGTGCAGCCAGCTCATCAGCAAAGGAGGAAGAACCAGTGTTCTGGCAGTGGCATAAAAACAACCACAGTAAATATCATCCTCCTTAAACCGTAACTAAAAGTGCCAATGGAATCAAATCAGCTCAAACATTTCTCTATGTTACTTTGGTTATTGAGGTTTTGTTTTTTGTGAGTACATCATACTTTTTGAACATCGTCGTCCCTGTCGGATTCTCCAAATATGTCAGAATCATCATCCTCCTCATCCTCTTCATCCTCTTCATAACTTATCATGGATGACTTCTGGGTGCATGGGAAGGTCAGATTATAAATCTAGACATTCGTGTAGCTTTTGTGTTGGCTAAAGGTGCAAATAGCTTACCTTTTTATTGTTATTGTGAACTTCTTCCTCTTCCTGATCAAAGTCCTCATCTGAATGCTGTAAAATAAAAGAATAAAGATGATGTATTTAAATTAGCAGAAATGTCAACTAAAAAACCCTTTGACAAAAAAAAAAAAAAAGGTCTTACAGCTTCTTTGTCATCTTCACTCTCGATTACACTGTCTCTGTCACTGTCAACTGACATTTCTGACAACAGAATGACAAGAATACAGTGATCAGCTTTAAGCAGTGCACACAACAATGCAAAATAAGTTTCAATCTGAATATTACCGTCACTTGACAGGTCCCCAAGTCCAACATCATCTTGTTCCATGAAGGCTTGAGAACCAATCAGATATGGAAGTGGCCTGTCCACATAAAGATCCTAGAAGAAAAGGAAAAAGAGAAACAAGAATGAATAACATCCATGTAAGATAACATGCATTCTTGCAGAAATGACAATAATCCACTAATGGCACTAGACCTTAGGCTCCAGGATGGCCTCCACTCTGTCTGTGGCCTCCTCGTCCTCTGAGTCAGAGTTCCCTGCTTTGATGTCCAGGTGCTCAAAGGCTGACTCCAACACTTTTAAACCATAATTTACAGCTTCCTGCATCTTGGGGATTAACTCTGATTCTTTCTGTTCTCGCGTCTTTTCCTTTAAAAAAAAAAAAAGGAACAGGAAAAAAACATAAAAATCATGCAGGTATTTTTAGATTAGAAATAATGCATTCACCATGTTCATATACCTGTTCAGGCTGCTTTTCAAGTGCTTCAGCCTTTGGAGCAGTCTCTTCCACTTCTTCATCATACACTCTCTATTACAGACCAAAGAATAAAAAAGGGGATTTCTGTCATTAAACTGGTTACAACATGCAAAATTCACCACACAACTGCCTCCAAAACAAAACAGGGAAGTGGGACAAACTGCCATGTGTAAAAAGATTATATACATTACATTTTCTATGAACTGTGTGTTTGACAGCATGAGAAAGTCGTTGAAGACAGACTGCAAGCGGCTGTCAGTGGCCTTGGTGTCACAGATCAGGCTGTCCAGTTGCTTTTCAATCTCATGTGTTTTAGATAGCATTCTCTGAGAAAAGTCTTGAAGGAAGAGGAAGAGCTGTGAAGAAAAAGAAACAAAGGTTATGTGAACAGGATCGGTTGCAGGGTTACTGCATGTCACTTTTCACAATACAGTCAAAGACTTGCAGAGTTTCACAATTCATTTTTTAAAATACAACATTCTCCAAAAAATTTCAGCAGACGATTTTTCTGACTTACCCCCGAGTCAGCGGCCAAAGACCAGCTGGCACTGTGTTGACGAATCTCTTCAAGACTCCAGGGTCTTTCCCAGATCTGGGCATCTTTATCCAAGTATGCAGCCCTGCTTGGGCCGTTTGCCATTCCCTCTGGGAACGCACTCATCTGCAATCAGATTGCTTGTTGTCATGGATGAGATCAATCATTTATGGAGGTTTTAAAAGCTCTCTCAAAGCAGAATACCATATCAGAGGAAAACTTGTTTTTTTACTGCTATAAGGCTTTTCGCTTATATGGTTTAATTAGTATTTTAAGCATATTCTTCTTGAATGAAGACATTATTTGGATTTGAAATCCTGTTGGTGGGAGTCAATCTGTATTCAAATGATGTCCATCAATCCATTTTCTGAAACGCTTATTCCCAAATGGGGTCGCGGGGGGACTGGAGTCTATCCCAGTAGGCAATAGGTGAGTGGCATGGTACACCCTGGACAGTCCGCCAGTCCATCCATATGTAATATTCTGTGCAAAATCCTAGGACCATAGAATTGATTGATAATATGCTCAGGTCATAAAGTTGTTTGACAGACAACTCTATGAGCTATTTCTGCATGTCTGCACTTTCAAGGCAAAGCACACAAACAGATGTAAAAGTACCTGCAGTGCATTTGTTAAACGTTATTGTTGTGGACCATTACAACACTGTGCTATCCAGCTCAGGCATAAATGTGATTTATTTGGGAGGAAAAGGCCATTTCCACTGCAACATTCTCCTCATAATAAAGAGTATCAACATGGCCACACAGATGGACCATGATGCCGCCCATAGCTTAACAACTAGTATGAACATTTGCCCCAGGGTCAAGGGTTTAAATCTCTCCACGGTTAAGCAAACTTGGGACAGAGATCAATCCGTAAAATCTTCTTGGTATGTGTGACATGCTCATACTCTGCATACTTGTGTAGGCCACTGCTCATTCAATTATTAGCTATCTAAGCAATACATTTCTTCTAATCAAAACGTGTATTAGATCTCACCCTGCCAAAGACACAATTTCGGGGTCAATAAACTTTACCCAAAAGGACAGTGCAGATTGCTGATTCAATTATTTTTCGATAATGTATGGGAAAACTCCCTTTGGCGCTGAAAGTCCAAAAGGGAAATTGCATTTCAACTCAGATTTTCCCTTTTTAATGCTTTATGTAGTCCTGGTTTAAGACTTCCTATTTACCAAACAACGCTGGATTTTCAACAGTCTTTTGCACAAGGCTACCTGCTATGTTCCCGTGAAGTTACCCAAATGTTATTTCCTCACACTTGAATTTGGTTCTGAGAGAGATAGCAGCGGGGACTGTTTGGCTAGCTGCTAGCGTAACTTAGCTAGTCCAAACCGACGGTGACTGTTGCTGTTCTGAGTAGCACAAAGTGATCTAACACTCCAACAATAAGCGTTCCCACGCTTACCTTGAACACCTCTGGTCAAATGCAGTCCACGACGAACGATTCAGGTATCAAACGAAGAAAAAAATGAGATCGATTATGCAAAATTTGGCCTTTCCCTCATTGGTCTTCTGACAGGTCAGCCATGTTCTGTCTGCAGACAGTCACCTGACTGCCGTTGCCTAGCAACCCAAAGAAAGTGGGGCGGATTGGAACAAGCCAACAACGGAGTGAAACTAATTGCTTGAAAAGCTTTAAACTGAGAGGTTCCCGTTCAGCATTCACGCCAGCTTTATCTTTCCGCACGTCTTTAAGAGTTTAACTACTAACTTAATTTGATTTTAATTTAACAAGCAAGCTCCTAAAACGTGCGCCTCGTTCAGGATATTTAATAAATGTGTTGTGTTGAAATCTTTGAACCTTTTTTAAATATTTCACTTTTTGCTCTTGTATGAATGGAAAATCCTTTAACTGAGTAAAAAAAAAAAACTGACCTCTTTCAAAGTTTACTACTTTCAGCTAAAGACAGCATTCAACTTTTAATTAAAAAAAAGAAGAAGCCACTTTTAGAATGAAATATTCATAGGGTTCGCTGAGAAACCTATAAAAGCAGAAACTGTTGTATTCTACAGGAAACAATCTCTGGTTTCTGGTCACAATCATAAATTAATTTCAGATAGACAATCAAGTAACTGATCAAGTAGTAATGAGTAGGAGGAGCACTAAGGACAGACGGTTTGAAGCTCCCCTCAAAAGGAAATTTCAGCCTCAGTGGTTGTATCGAAGACTCAAACCCGTCAAGAGGGAACCATCATGTATAGCATTCAGCACACAGACACCAAACTATCGCTGGTCAAGTTTATTGTGTCAGCGTTCAGCCACATGGAGTCCCAGTGCTGCTGAGAACATCAGGGTCACCTGCGGGAAACGGGGGTTAGTCTCAGCAGAGGTTTCACAATGCTTCAGATATTAGTTCAGGTTTACCTCAGAACAACTTCTGCCCTTTAGACCCAGTCCCAACACTAAAGAGCAGGACACAGACCCAGAATATCCTGTTTAGAGTTCAAAAGAAAAGGTATAATAGAGACAACAAGACCCCCTACATTAGAAACATGGAAACTAATCTCACAAAAGCTTAAAAGACCATGTTGATTTTAAGACAAAGCAGAGTAAGTCAACTAGATCTGCTTAAAGATAACAATCCAGTGACCACTGCTAAAAGAGGACTTGCTGTAACTGCTCTAGGACAGCAGCTGTTTTTACACTGGAGCTCCACTTGTTCTAATCAAGCTGATCAACCTCACCTGGGTGCTCACTTCATGCTACCTTCAAGTCTGCCCTGAAAAGTAAGTCTTTTAATACACAATTTGAAAAGGTTTACTGGGAGACTTGAGGTTTAACCTAGACAGGTCACCGGTGACAACCATGCACTCACTGTCGTGGTCATTTTGGACACGACAATTTAAAATATAGTGTATTTGGATATTTTTACGATTTCTTTGAGTATTTTTTTTATAACAATCCATTGTGAAGTACAACAAAAATGTATTTTGACTCGAAAAAGTTTATTCAATTTTTTCCTGACAATCTTCAAAATTAGAAAAGTATTTACATGAACAAAATGCAAAGACAGGACAGTGCAATTACATCTCACTCATTAGGGCAAACTGCTTAAATAAAAATGGAAGGAAACTTCTTTTTTACACTGAGGCACATATCTTAAAAAAATACAAAAATTTACTTTGCAGAACGAATTTTGTGCAATTTTTTCGGCCCACTGTAAAGAAGTAGCTTAAAATGGTATGGTTCATGTTTACAGTTATTAAATAATTTATTGACTGTGGAAAATGATGAAACCTAAGTATGAACCAGGGAAGTGAAATAGTGCAAATTAAACTTAGCATTAAGGCAATAGCAGTAAAAGTCCAGAGAAAATATACATCTCTATGACACAGGGTATCCTGATGCCAGCAGTGTTGTCATTCCCTCAGAATCATTTTCATTCTCCACACTGGTACACTCAGTATCATTGGTGTCCATTTGCTCATCCACTGCTTTAGGCAGCATTTCACGCATCCCCGGACTCGAGTCGTTTTCTGTCACCGGCTCCACGGCTTCCTCTGTTTTGCTTGTGTCATTCTCGGTCACGTCTCCCTCTGTGCCTCCTATCCTTTCATTAACTTCCATGACCTCTTCTCTCTCTTCATCTTCAGCAACCATTCCATCATCATCCTCTGTCTCATCAGTTAAAGTAGTTTCCTCCTCTTCTTCATCTGTTAAAGGGTTCTCTTCATCATCGCGGTTGCTTTTAAAGGTGTCCACAGGCTGCCAATAATCATACAGCTTATCCTATTTGACAGAAATAAAAGGAAATGCAAAAGAGAATTACGAGCGCTGTACAAACATGGGCACAAACCGGTGAGAAGTCTTTGCAGCTACCGTACATAGAGAGGTCTGGTCCTCTGAAGAAGCATCTGCCATTTGGTGTACATCCTGGCCAACAGGTCCTTTACCTGAGAGAGGTGGAAGTTATCAACAAGATGAAAAACGTTGGTTCCACAGAGCCTATATCATCTATAGCTGCTCGGCCACACTCATAATTTACATGAATCTATATAGAATATATATATATATTTCACACAATCCTGCTCACCTTACTACGGTAAAGACATTTCTCACTCTCTCTGATGTCACACTTCACATGAGTTTCCAGCTCTGATGACAAAAAAAGGAGCTGTTCCTAAAATCAGAAAGACAAAATTCAAACCTTTGGAAATCTCAAACACAGAAATATTGAAAAAATAAAGTACCTTCTGATGAGCTGGGAAAAGCTGGAAATTGGATGCTTCGTTTGTGAGTGTCAGAAGGCTATAGCACAGGTAGTAGGCCTGATATGCACAAAAGATGCAGAGAGTTTATGTGAAGCTCAGGTTGGACTGTTTTGACATTTAAAACCCCAACCCTATAAACACCTGTTGATCAAGAGTGGACATGTCCTGGTCCTTATTTTTCTGAAGCAAGCCTCGGAAAAGAGCAGAGGGCTGCATCCGGGGAAGGTACGGTCTCAGATCTGCAAGCTGAGCACAAAAAAAAAGGTCATTCATAACATGTTATAATATAAATCACTTTATGTAAATATAAGTACGATGACACAATTAGAGATAAATTAAAAATAAATCTGAATATCTAAATTATTTTAAAATGATACATTTTCGGGTAAATAAAACTTAAAAAATTAAAAAAAAAAAAGAAAGTCCCAGAAATGGCCCAGATCCATGCTGCAATGAAACACTACCTGGAATTCATCCTGTGAGGGTTTGTATGTGCAATTTCCATTTAACAACTTAGAGATCATGGACAAGCTGAGATGTCGACGCAGCTCTCTGTAAAAACAAAGAACAAAGGCCTTTTGGAAAAAAACATGTAACTACATCCATCCATGCATCCATCCATGAAGGAAATATGTAAATGAGTAAACGAAAAACATTTACTTTCCGTGCGTGCTGTCAGGCAGGAGTTGAACTACCAGGCACATATTGTGGTGATCGTCTGTCAGATTGGTGAGGGCTTGACAAATTCTGGGAAGCTGGAAAAACACAAATGATGAATTCAATAGTTTGAATGACCCAACTTGTGAGCTGGAGTTGAGTATGATGCGTGCTTCACTGACCATCGTGCTCCAGTCCCTGATGTTGTTGATCATTTTATGCTGAAGGCATGTCACATCTATGCTGGACATGGGGATACGATTTACGTCCATGCTGATCCTTCCCACCACAATCAGCAGCAACAGCAGCTCGTTGTCGCTGTATGCGCGAGGGCACAGGCCCATACAGTAGGACAGGTACTGTAGACAGGTACCAAGAGAATGAAAACGGATAAGAAAGCGAAGCTGTGCTTGCACTGCTAGTCTTACAAACAGGAGTGGAAACTGGTCCAAAGCATCTTTGCCATTCAAACCACCTTCAAGATGTTGCTGCAGTTGTGTTCAGGAAAAATAGGCTGCTCCTTTTTAGAGGACTGACCTTCCTCCTTAACATATACACTCTCCCTGCACAAACACAGATATTCAGGTTATCAAAAGAGGAAACACATTGAATGAACATTGTGCAACCTACAGTTTAAAATGAAAGGAAAGATAAATACAAAATACAAAAAGCAAAAACATCTTACAGCAGATCTCCCTCGGTGAAGGGCGGCTGTAGGCTCTTAAAGGGGAAGAGCGTAACAAACTCAACACCCATGTTCAGCAATACCAGCGTCACATCAGCCAAACTAGGCACCCATACTTCAAACTGCTGGCTTTCATTTTTCACTACAAAGTATATATACAGAAAACAAAAAAAAACACACGTTTACAACATTCATCCTGAAGTAACAAACACCAGAAACCTGCTGGAAGGGAAGCTGACCTATCTGATATGCAGCAGAACAGGCAATGTCACACAGGGCTTGGAGTATCTTTTCTGAAACCATCCTCTCACTATGGACTGACATCATCTGTAAAGGCAAACACACGAGTTACTGTCAAAGTTGCACAATAAAACAGTAAATTACAGACAGGTCAGTGTTAGCTGGGCTTACCTTGAATAGGAAACGAGTAACCTGAGCTGGACAGGGTGAACTACAGTCGTACGCCTCCTGGAATAACCCAATATTTAAATGCAGTCTCAGCTGAGCAGGGCTTGACCTGGTTTGTAGAGAGGAAAATTAACAATCAACCTTTCACCAAAGCTAAAAGGTTCGAGGACACAACCTGTAAAACATACGGAAAGAAAAATGTGGAACCTCCAAATTAAAGAATGTTGGGGGTAAAAAAACAAACAAAATGACTAATGTGTTTTACTCTGTTTAAATGTATGCAAACAGCAGTTTACCAAAGAAGGGTTTTCTGTGATGTCCACTGTGGTGAGACCAAACACTGCCTGAGCTGCAGTGTGTCCTGGTCAAAGATCCGACCAAACCTTTCCAAGTTGAACACCACCTCTCCTGGAGGCACTTCCCTGATAGCACTGGACATCAGGGAGTAGCGCTGCAGGAATTCTCTGTGCACAAAAATAAAGGATACAAAATGCAGTTCCCATTAAACTGATACAAAGGGGTGTCTGTGACAATCTGTGATGTGCATGCTCTTCTCCATGTGCACTCCTTACTGCTGCTCAGATGAGATTTCCTCTTCGCGGTTCTCCTCTGCCTGCTCATATTCGGCTATCTTCAACAGGTCTTCTTGACATGTAGTTAGAAGCTGTCTCTCCACCTCTTTTGCTCTGATGAAAAAAGCAAAATGCATCAAAAACTCCTCATGTGCAAGGACATTAATAAATGTAAAAGACACGAGGGACGTTTAATGAGCTGGGCACTTTTTGTTGTTGTTAATCTCTTTCAGCATCTGGTCAAGAGTGTTCTTGTAGAAACTTGACTTTGTGGCGAGCGGCAGATGCTGTAGTCAGAAACAAAGGTTCATGATCAAAAGATCTAAACTGAGGTACAATCTAACACTGAAGAAGTCATTTCAGGTAAAACTTACAGCTTTGCTCTGACATCGGCGTTGTACGGGTGTACTTGGCTCTGGGAAGGCTTCCTTCTCCGGTGTATCTGGGGGCTTGGTGACGCGCTCCATCATTTCTTTTAAGGAGATCAGCTGCTCCTCCTCACTGCTATCAGAGCTCTGAGTTAGGTCGACATCATAGGCAATACTTAGGCCCAGGTCCAGCTCTACATCCACAGGATCCTCCTCATTCATATCCTTCCTGCTCCCTTCATTCTGATGAGCACCATGTACTGAAGAGGTTTGTCCAGACTTGGCAGGGACAGCCTCCAAAGGGGGACTGCTGCTGGAAAGGGGATGCTTGCAATTTTCCTCAGGTCTCACACTCTCCTCTTTAAGCTGCTTGCCTGAAGAAGTGACAGGATGGTTTCTTAGTGCCTTATCCTTGGAAGAAAGTTTGGATTTCTCTGGTTTCAGCGCAGGCAAATGGGATGGAGAGTAAGGTGTTGAGGAAGCTGCTACATTTGGAGATTCCTTTGGTGTGGACTGTGGAGTTTTTGAAATACACAATCCACTAACTGGAGTGCTGCTGCTAGGTGCAGGAGTGGAGTATTTCTCTAAGGTTGGGGATTTAATTTCCTCCCCCTCTATCTTGAGCTTTGCTGCCTTTCGTGCGGGGCTGACAACATAAGTCATGGGATCAGGAGTGAAAAGATCGTCTATGTCATCAGGGATAGGCCTTCGTGCACGATTAGCTTTATTACGCTCTACTGTGCGGACATTTGTGGAACCGGAATTTGATTTGGACATTAGTTTGGAAGCGCAACTGTGCGATTTTCTGCTCTCCTCCGATTGGTTACCTCTGCTGGGGGCCTTTGCTGGTAAAACTGGGGTACTAGGGGAGGTAAGACCACAGGAGGGGCTTATTGAAACAAAAGGTGATCTACTACTGTCCTTCTGATGAGTTGATGAGTTGCTTGATTTGTCTCTTTTCAGGTTTTCCTCATTTCTTTTTTTCACACTTTCCTCACTGGACTTTGAAAGTGCACTTAGCCTTACTACATTCTTGTGAGAAAAGTCTACATAGGCTTGCTTTGTCCCAACTGAGGGCACTCTCTTATCACAATGTTTAGATAACAATGCGCCGGGTGATTGGGTGGACTTTATCGTGGATGATATCTCTGAGTGAGTGGATTGTCCACAGGCCAGCTCTAGAAGCAGAAGGCTGTCCGTTGTCTTGGGAGATAATTCCCATACTGAAGAATCCTTAGATGATGGCACAGGGGAGATGTTCGGGACGGGTTTGTTTGTCTGTGTTTTTCCAGGGTTTGCACCCTGAGCGCATGGCTTCATGGAAATTTCATCCGAGTGCTCCAACTCTGTGTGCCTTTTCTCTGGTGTGCAATACAAATTCCTTTCTGGAGACAAAAAAAACAAAGATATTCATGAAAATGAATTTCAAAATACCTGTCCATATCAGCACTAACAAATATTTGATACAGTCCCAAATATGCTTTAATGACACAATTTTTCACTTTGTTACCAAGAAAGATTACTCTGTAACAGAAGATTTTCAAGAGACATAGCTGAATGTTTAACCACCCCTGCTTTTTAAAAATTAAGTTTTTGGATCAATTTGAGGCGTACCAGATAGAAACAGAACTTTGTTGGTGTAAATCACCTACTTGAGCTGCATGGTTTAATTGCATCCTCAATAACAGTTTTCATTTTACCTTGATGAAGCATGATTTTTGCAGCTGAAGGTGTTTCCTCGGGTTGCTCTTGCTGACTCTACAAAACAAGACATTTAAAAAATGTTGTTAAAAACACTCTTGTAGGAGGCAGACATGGTTTGTACATATCAACATCAATGAATATCAGTCAAATGCTCAATCAAACAGAATAAAGCCTTATTCTCACATAAGACATCATTTCCACACGGAGATTAATAAAGTATGACTCAGTTGAAATATGGTACTTCTTGCATTAATGGACTGAGCATAATTAGAATAATAATAACATGCTAAATAACCCTAACCCTAGCCATAAAAATATTTCATCTTGTACAAATCGATGTTTCATCAATAAATAATACTAAATTATAAATAAATAATAATAATAATAATAATACCTTATTCAGTTCTGGTCTTTCTGATGTTGCATTGCTGTATCCAGAGTTATAAGGCATGACCTTGGACTCAGTGCCTTGATCTCTCAAGAAATTATGGGATGGGGTGTGGTTTAAATTCTTAATTAATTGAGAAGATGTTTTATGAAATATAAAAGAATCTGCAGGTCTATCTTTTGAGGTATAATTGTTGGTTTGACTTGCTTGAATAATGTGAGATGAGGAAAAATGTGTTGGCCCCAATTGCTGCAGAGAGCCTGGTCTTTCTTTAGTCGTGGCTTGAGGGCTATATCCTGCTTGCCCAGTGTTAGTTGGGCTACTTAAAGCCAGCTGAACAAAGTGCTTGTTAGGACCCACTCTGTCCTTCACAAGAGAATTCACAAGAGAATCGTAGATAGCACTGTTATTTGGCGCACACCCTGAATGTGTAGGGTGCAACTGTGGGCTGTCTCTGTCCTTGTTGGACTGCTCAGGAGTCAGAAGTGGCAATGCTCTTCTGGGTGGAGGATGAGAAAGCAGGTTAGGTACTTGAGAGGGTTTCATTGGTGTCTCCTGGGCATAAGATTTAAAATGTGGGGAATCCTGATTAAATTCAAGGTCCATTCCTAAAAATGAGGAGAAAAAACATAAAGTATATGTACTATGGTCTATAGCAAGACAGTTTCTAAAATATAATAAGCCACTGCATTGGATGCTGGTTTATGTTTTCTACATCACTGTGCAGAAATCAATTTAAACCATAAATTAGGTACATTTTTGTATCAAATAAAGATATGTACCCATTAGTTATGAAGTTAACTCAAATAGATATAAGTACACTGTGCTAAACCCTATGATTTTTTATTGGTGTCTTAACAGTTTAAAAAAAAAAACCTCTATATTGAGACTCTTATATATTATACACTATTAACAGTGTGCTTAAACTTAGCTTGAAGAATAAACTCCAATACAGATATCAGCTCTGACTCACCTTTAGTCTTTGGAGAGAGGTATTCTGCAAAGGTGCTGAAAGTAACCCAGAGAAGAGGTTCTTTAAAGTCTCTATCAGATGTTTTTCTTATCCCAACAACAATACATGAGTCTTATTCATTTAAATAAAAAATCTGCAAAGAATCCAAGCGTACAACCAATCACAATAAGGCGTCGTGTTGTTGTTAAGACTTGTCGCTTTGACAACAGTATCATAATTTTATGTTTACAAGTTCACTTTCAAATCGCAAATAAAAGGCCAACAACACAAATAACAATAATGATAATAATAATACCACAAGGAATAATATCAATCATGATGCCTATGCTAGCAATTTGGACACATACTAGCTAACTATCTTTAGCTTGTAAAGTGACAGACCTGTTTCCACACATTTATGAGCATGCCACGTTCTGTTTTAGCGTTGATACGTTATATTGTGCTAATTTGTAATTTAGTATGTTACAGAAATTTCGTATAGTTAAGGAATTATTTAACAAAATATTTCCTAGCCCGTAGCTCTTTCAGGAAGTGATATGTAGCTAGGTGGGTGACGCGCGTGCAGTTTACCATCGGTGACAACAAAGTGTGTGCGTTTTCTTACCGAGAGCTTCCTTGAATTTCCGACACTTTTTTCATTTTCAGGGTTAGATGGGTTGTTCGTGACTACATAGCGGAATTCCGAATCACCGTGCAAATCCGTTTAATTTCTTCTCCCGCCTGTTGCAGTATTGTCATGTCTCTGCGAATTGCATCATGGAACTTGGAGTTCAGTACGCGCTCCATGCCATAATCACTGTCATTTGTTTACTTGAAATTATTTAGATATAGCATTTTCGAATACAATTTGCAACCCCTGAGCAATGTTAATAATATCAATCATAACAATATTACTAATATTCTGCAGGCTGCCAACTGTTTGTAACAACAGACAAATTAAGATGGGAAAGTCTGGCTATGACATGCAATGATTGATGGTGCATGGAGAAGAAAATGTATATTTTCACAAATGTGTTATCTAAGTTTTCAACAGTTATTACTTTGGGAAAAAAATCTGTCTATTATATGTAATAGTTTAATTCAAACAAGAAAAAGCATAATTAATTTATGAAGGGCGCATATAGACCAAGAGGATGAACACATAACTCCACATTTATTAAATCTGAGCTTTTGGGGTATGGTTACCAAAAAAAGACAGAGTTACATTTGATGGTAAGGGACATCAATACTGTAAAACATCATGGGATATTTCACAAGTGGTACATAAATACAAAAACAGTTCAAAGTTGGTTGAAACACACAAACTGGAAAATAAGAGACATTTTACATGCTGGTGATAAAATGATGAACCTAGAGGAACCCAGTTAAAACAGTGAACTGTTCACTTGTCCAATACTGAACTGAATTAAGTGGTATTTGGCATCATTCAAAAGGAGAAAAACAAACAAACTGACAGACAAAACAGACAGCACCAAGACATAGAAAACAGTACCAAATTACATTCACAGACGGACAAAAACACCATTCTGAGAGCAGAAAATGTTTGGCTGTTCAAACCCTCCCAACCAACTCTCAAGAGACTGCAAACAGAATTCCCTTTAGAAATAAATTATCTTGAATAGCTGACATATTATTCACACTAAATATGCTAATAAATTCTCTGAATATGTTGAATTGGCTATTAGAAAACTACAATATGCCACTACTGGTAACTTATGGTGTTCGAGGCTCATCCTTATCATCAGTGTACAAAACAGCATCTTCTTCAGAGTGTGCAATGAGCACAAGCGGAAAACTATCCTTTCTGTCAGTGCATGTTAAGCATTAATGCAGACTGTAGCTCATATGTTTGTGGCTGACCCTGGTGCAAAGGCCAGAGGATTTCAACAAATTCAACATAGGAGACTGCAGTAAAAGGCTTACGAACCAGTAATCCAAGTATAGCATCTTTCGTCTTAATATCTTTTCTCTATGCAGTCTCTTGAGATCCGTGGTTTGCTGTAATTCTAGTGCACCTCAGTCCACCTCGTCTTTAGGTCCCTTGCTGCGAGCCACGAGAGGGACATAGCTTTTGACAACCATCCAAAAATATGCAGCCCGTTTTACAATTAAATTAAATTATATAATAGAGAAGACGCTAATCTTAGGCCAGCTGTTAGGGACAATCAGTACCACCATACACACAGGGAGTTTGTCTTGTCTTTCCGTCTCTTTACTTCTTGGCCTTGCCCTGAGCAGCAACAGCCTCCATGGCTTTGCGTACAGTCTCCTCATCTCCCAGGAACTGCATGGGCTTCACTGGCTTTAGGTTCTTATCAAGCTCGTAAAGGATCGGGATGCCTGTTGGCAGGTTCAGCTCCATGATGGCTTCATCGGTCATTCCTACAGGGACCAGCACACAGACAGCAGAGTTTCTATGATTAATGGTAACACCGTACAGAGGGGTTATCTTCAGCGTTTAAGAATAAATTATTTTTCAAAAGCAACACCTTTTCACACATTGTTATAGTGATGACTCGTCTACTTTGAACATGCTGATGACATCCCAGAAAGCCCAGTTACTTTGGTATTACAGATAACGTAATATTCCTAAGCAAAGGTACTCACAGCTAATATCTGACATGTAAAAACAAGAGGTGATTAAAAACACAACAACATTGGATTGTGACATAACCAACAGAAACTCTGGAAATAATTGACATCTTGAAGCATGACATCACCACCCACCCTCCAGGTGCTTGACAATCCCCCTGAGGCTGTTTCCATGGGCAGCGATGAGCACCCGCTTTCCCTGTTTGATCTGAGGGGCTATCTCCTCATTCCAGAAGGGCAGCGCTCTAGCTATGGTGTCCTTCAGACTCTCACAGGATGGCAGCTGGTCCTCCGTCAGGCCTGCATAACGACGATCCTGAAGAGACAATAATACCAGTATGTGAGATAAATATAAAAGAGCATAGAGAGCCAATCAAAGCTCGAACCGATTATCTTCATCTTAGAAATTTCTACTCTAAAATGAACTAATTTAAGCCTTTTTTTCTTAGAATAATAAAATAACCTTTAAAAAACCCTAAATGCTAGTATTGACATCATTCCAGTTGAACATCCACTCACCCCTGCTAAGACGTAATCAATTTTTTTCCACCTTACTTGAACTTTAAACTTGAACCCAGTGCAAACTCAATCTTGTTAGTCAAATATTAACTCTTAGTTAACATGCTATTAGGCAATTGCAATGAGGTCCTGGCTAGCAAATAGTAAGGTATGGTACTGTCTACCTATGGGTATTTTGTTTCAGTAGTATGTATCTCAGAATTACATTTTTAGATATTAAAGATAACTGTGTTGTAGACAGAAAAAAGAATAATTTTTGTCTCTTGATATAATTTCGGTCAAGTCTGTCCAGTTGAGTTATGGTTGACTAACAGGTCAATATGCATAGATATGTTCATGCCATGCCTCCCCTTTGTCACTGGCCGTGTTCACAAAGATCCATGGCTGTATTTGCACTACAGAGATATCATATCTCACCTTGGAGATGATAGTGTAGTAGTCATGGTCTGGACCCATAGAAGGAGGCGGAATGTCAAATGAGCGCCTCCAGATCTTCACTTGAGCTTCCCCGTGTTTGGCAGCCGTCTCGGCCTTGTTCAGCCCCGTCAGGCCTCCGTAGTGGCGTTCGTTCAGCCTCCAGGTTCGATGCACTGGGACCCACATTTGGTCAATGCTGTCCAATACGTGCCACAGGGTCCTGATGGCCCGCTTCAGGACAGAGGTGTAGCAAATGTCAAACTCAAAGCCAGCATCTGAGGGTTCAAAAAACAAATAAATAGTCAGTGGAGTTGACTTTTGTTTTTTTTTAACTTTTTAACTCATATGTCATTCCAGAGATTATTAACTTGGAAATCGTTTTGAAAAACATGGAGGCATAACAAAATATGTTTTCTTTCCTCTGGTGACTTGTTTAGTCAACAAAATGGGTGTATTCTGCTACACATTGCTTCAGTGAGTATTCTCTCCAGGTAGTGTAGACAATCCGGACAATGTCAACTGTAGAACACGTCCATTTTTGTTGAAATACAACCTAATGTGTTGCAGAAATACAACCTAATGTGTTGGATTAGTACTTTAAAGTCAACATTAAAACAAAACACGCTCTCGTTGTGTCCCTGCAGTGTCCCTGCACCGCAAACACCGTGCATTAGTCCCGTTTCTGCACATTTCTCGGACACGTCGGGGGCCGTTTCAGGACCTGACGAATGCAGCGGCGGTTATGCAACCCATGCTCCGGCATGTCAGAGAAATAATGCCGGGTGTCAGTGTAAAACTGAACGCCTTTTCCCCCACCTTTCAGGGCCTGTCCTCCTCTTTTCGCTTCCTTTTCCCCAGTTTCGCTCAAGTCTGCATCAAACCAGCCGCAGAAGCGATTCTCCTGGTTCCAGTTGCTCTCTCCGTGGCGAATCAGGACTAATTTGTAGGCCGCCATTGTAATAAAGAT